GCCGGGGGGACGTCGCGGGCGGCGCTCCCGCGTGTTGAGGGAAGCGGTGGGAATGGGGGGAGCCCCAGGGAAGGACACGGACCTGTGGGAGCGGGGCCAGAGGAGGCCACAGCAGTGATCAGCGGGCAGGAGCACCTCTGCTGTGAGGACAGGCTGAGAGCTGGGGGGGTTCAGCCTGGAGAAGAGAAGGCTGCGGGGAGACCTTTTTGCAGCCTTCCAGTACTTAAAGGGGGCTTATAAGAAAGATGGGGCCAGACTTTGTAGCAGGGCCTGTTGCGATAGGACAAGGGAGAACGGTTTTAAACTAAAAGAGGGTAGATTCAGACTGGATATAAGGAAGAAATTTTTTACGATGAGGGTGGTGGAACACTGGAAGGGGTTGCCCAGAGAGGTGGTGGATGCCCCATCCTTGGAAACATTCAAGGCCAGGCTGGACGGGGCTCTGAGCACCCTGATCTGGTTGTAGATGCCCCTCTGCCCATGGCAGGGGGGTGGACTAGGTGACCTTCAAAGGTCCCTTCCATCCCAAACCCTTCTGTGATGCTGCGGCCCCCCCCCGAGGCCGGGCAGGGGCGGCAGGCGGGCCGCACACGCCGGGTCTGGTTCCTGGGGGCACCCACAGCCTGGCCCCGAGACACCGAACCCTGCAAAACCCCCGTTTTGGTGAGGCCAGGCTCACCCCAGCACGTGGAGGCGGCAGCTCGCAGGAGCAGTTACCGCCTAGAAGAGCTTTAAAACTGGGACGTTTCTACTTGCTCATTTTCCCTAGCTCAATTTTCCTATAACTGAACTCTTTAACAGCTAGAAATAAATACTAATGCTTTTCTGTAATCGCACAGATTCCTCCAGCCAAAAGTCCCAGAGGTTTTTGTCATCTTGGCTTCTTTCTTAGGGATGCCGTGGCACAAAGCAGTCAAAGCGGTCAGAAGTAGCCTCTGATGCCGAGAGCCTGAGTTTTGGGATGAATAACTGGAGATTTGAGCCTGTTTCAGGAGCACCAGGTGAAGCCAATGAGACTTACAGGTGCTCGACACTTCTAAGTGTGCTCCTAGTTTCACATTCCCTCCTTAATGCATAAACCCTGGCGGGCAATTTGCCCCCAGGTGACAGTTTCTGGAAGAGTAAGGGTCTCAAGAATTGAAAACATTGCACAGGAGCTAAACAAGGGCAGCATTGCACCGAGTGACTGCTTTCCAGGGGGTAAATCCGTCCCCCAGCTCAATGCAAGCGTCCCTGTTGCTCCGCAGCACGAGCGGAGACGGTCACTACGTGGCCAGCTGAGAAATCACTGCTTCTCAGCATGGTTTGATGAAAACGAACCGCGCGGTTCGTTAGCGATCTGCTCAAAGGTAACTCGTGACCCTCATTATTTCTCTTGTAGGAGCAGAAAAGAACTACGTCTGGGCTCCTTCACATGCCCTGCGCACCATGAGACACACAGACAAGTCCGAGGCAGCAGGGCTGGTACGTCAGAGCCATCCCCAGGCTGGTACAGGGAGAGATTCTGGCCTTGCCCTCACAAAATCCTCCTCAGCAGGGTTAATCTCTCCTGCCTCTCCCCCCTTAGCTGACTGATTGCTCGAAATTACCATATAGATTGAGAAAGCCAGGCCTGTGATTTCACAAGAGCTTCTGCCAGGCTCCTCCAAGCATCTGGAGACCCTCATCCAGTCTTCAGCCCTGTCTGGAGCTGCTTTCCTTGGAGACCAACCCTGGCCTCTGCCTGATGAGAAGAGCAGCCGATGTTTCCAATTTGAAAGCAAAGTCAGGCAAGACAGCAACCTACACCAGCCTCATCCCATTCTGCTCCTCTGTCTCCCTTTTCCCTGCTAAATCCGTTCCCCCTAAACCTGAAAAATCACTTCAGGGGCAGCAGCCATCCCCGGCCCCACGCTGCCCACCCAGATACGCTCCTCCTGCGACCCAGCCGGGAAAGGAGCAGTGGGCACGACCTCGGCACCCACCTGCAGCCGCAACCGCACCAACCACCCGCACGCGGTTAATTCCCAGCATCGTCCTGTCTGCCCCAGGCCGACATAATAAAACGTGCATTGATTTAGTGATTGCCCCGAGTAAGACAGCGCCCTTTTCCCAGCCTTGCAGCATCCTTTCTAACCTACACGGATATGAGCACGGCGGCACAATTTCCAGCCTAGGTTTGAGACACAAAAGCCCTGCTCCCCTTTTCCTCTAGAGCCAGGCTGAGATGACTAGCCCTGAACACAGGGCCGGCAACACAGGCTTCCAAAACGGGAGCAAACCACTGCAAACCACCATCCCGTGTCCGCAGACCACAGCAGCAGCGGTGGCATCGGGCCCCTGCACAGCCCTGGGAGGCAGCGGAACCCCCCCTTACACCGCTGCTGGCCTTTACCTGTGAGCAGAGATGAACTGCAGACCTTCCTCTCCACGGCAGGCTCTCCAGCAGCAGTTTTGGGCAATCAATCTGCTCTGGCTTATGGTAACCGTGCTAAATGTCTCCGGGGTGCTTGCTGTTCATCATTGCAGCAGGAACTGCATGGGGAATAAAGAAAAGAGGAAAAACCCTGCAGAGCTCAAAGGAGCCCACGGCCAGAGCCCGAGCCCAACAGTCCGCTGGGAGGATGGGACCATGCGTGCTGTGGCTGGAGAGAAATGGGGTTTTTATCTACGTAGGGTTGGGGAATGGAGGGGGAGCTACAAGCGTGGGCAAAGCACAGCCGTGCCCGGAGAGGCACCACGACCTGTCCAGAGCAGGGGCCAGGGGCAGCTCAGAGCCCCCGGGCCAGGGCAGCCACCTCTGTCCCCGGCCGGGTGCCGTTCAGGTCCTCCCCGCCCAAACACAGGCTTCCTCAGGTTGGGAGCAGAGTCCTGGCCATCCTGACCGCTCACCTCCAAGTCGCAGCCCGAGTCCCATCAGCCCTGCCCCTTGTCTGAGCTCTCAGGCCAGCCTGCCAGCTCCTGCCCCTTCTGTCTCAGGAGCAGCCTCCAATTTCCATTTAAATTGAGATTTTAACGCTCCTTTTCCCCTAGTCCCTGTGTATCCAGGCTTAGTGAGAGGCTTCGGACACTTGAGTTGTGCCTGATGGGTCCTGGATACCTCTCCCTAGTTAATGATATCTCGCTTCATGTAACCAGGCACCTAATGAGATAATGTTGGGACCCCAGTGCCTCCATAGCAGCTGCCACAGCAGCGGAGGGACGCTCAGAGCATGAAAGGTGCCGGTTTGTTACCTTACTCCCCAATCCAGCTCGCACCGAACTGGATTTGAGCACTTATTTACTCATTTTATTCTTATCTAGGCTGCTCAGTGCTGACAGCTGTGCTCACTCTGACAGCCTGAAAAACCACCTATCTTCACAACCTGTCTGCAGGGCAAACCGAAGCTGCTGCCCTCAGTTCACCCATGGCAAAAGCAGAGCTCCAGAAAATGAACTGGCTTAGCCGGGGTTACAGGGCAGGACAGCAGTGCCATAGCACGCACAAATCCTGGCTCACGGTCCCTGCTCCGGGATCGGCCCCAGGTGGGAATTCATTGTGCTCCCCTCTGAAATAGGGGCTGGGATGTAGCAGTAAGCTGCACGACTTTAGGATGGTCGGAGGAGGATGCTTCCCGGTGGAAGTGCAGAGGAGACCTGTGCAGGAGATCCAGAGCAGGAAAAAAGGAAACCCATTCTGAAGCAAGATGAACAAGGTGTATTTTTGCCAAAGCAAGCCCGACTTACACCATTTTGGAGCTGTTGTCCATCTCCCAAGCTGACCACAGAAATGTTTGTAATGTGCAGAGGCCTGTTCCATAACCTGGAAATTTTTGGTTTAGCTCATTGTCACCACCTTGTCCTTCCTGATGCAGACACCAGGGTGGTATCGGCCATCCCCGTGACCGGCCCTGCCACAAGTGACAGTAAGAGGTCCAGCCAGAGGGAGCTGATGCACGTCGGTAGAGGATGGCCCCAGTGCTTTGGAGCTGGGGACTGCTGCAGTGTTCCCCGGCACAACTTAAATGCGGACAATAACTGGGCAAAAAGAAGGATCCTATTACCCTCTCCACTGTCTTTCTTTTGCAGATTCACCCCGCAACTCATCGTTGCTAACAGCAATGCATCGAGCTACGTGCTTTCCTCCAATCTCTTTACAAACAGTCGTGGATTAAGCCCCAGAACCTTGCTGCAAGATGAGTATCAGTAAACTCTTCAAAACCAGGGAAGCCAGGACAGTACTGCTTTGACAAAAAGCTGGGTGTTCTGACTCCCTCTCGCCACTGAGCCCGGAGTCCCGAAGTAAAGCACAACCGTACTACACGTGCTACAACACCTGCTTTTAGTGTGGGAAATCATTACATATATATTGCAGCAACGTTCAAACGAAGTCAGTCGCTTTGGGCCGCCTAGAAATGTGCCAGATTATCGTCCCCATCTCGGAACGACTTCTCTAAGTTCAGCTCTACCGTCCTCCCAGAGCTGAAAAGCCCCACGACCGTCTCAGTTTTGACAGCTAGCCACCACCGCCACATCGGGAGATGGTTATAAACAAAGCTGAGCCTTACCAGCGCTTCCCCAGAAAAATCCAAGCGTCAACCTTGGAGATACAGTGAGCTCTGCTCCTCTCCCATGCTGATTATGCTGTAACTCGACTGCAATTGGGCTCTATTTAATAATTACTGTTACTCTGTAATTATCACTTTCTGATTTTTCTCTTTGTTAATGTTTGCCGGGGAGGGGGAGAGGCTTTTCTACTGTGCCAGAGAGCTAAAGACGTCTCCGATTCAAGCTGACGTGGATGTGCCGCTTGCTGCGGCGGTGTTTAACCAGGCACCCATCAAAACACGTTTCTAAAGTCACTCGTGTCACAGCCAGCAGGGAAATGCTGGGGGCTGTTCACTTGCTGTTTCTACCCCCAGCTAACCAGACACAAGCTCCCATACGCACAGGAGAAGCTAATTAAAGAGTACGGGTGAGCAAGGAGTGCTTCTTAAGAAGGCATTATTATTGAAATGAGACAGCAAGGGAGGCGGTGTGGAAGGATCCTTAATGAAATGGGGGAGGAAGGGAATTAGAGGGAGAACAAAGTAAAAAGGGGAAGAAACAGTCTAGGAAAAGGAGGGGGAACCTGACTGATGGAAGATGTGGCGGAGGCGCAGAAACCAAAACAGCAAGGTTCTTGCTTTAACATCTGATTTTCTCCTCTACCCTCAGAGTCTGAGGGCTCAGACACCCTCATTCCTAAAGGCTCCAAGCAAATGGTCCGGCATCCTGGGGCTAAAACACAGTTTATCTTCATCCTAGTCTGCCCTCAGCTGTGCATGTCCCGGCTTAGAGAGACTGGCTCCTTCTCCGGGGCCGGAGCAGACCTTTAGCATGCAAGAGCCAGCGCCCTGCTCCAGACAAGCTGCTACCAAGCACAGCCTCAGGGCTGCAGGAAAGGTGGCTGCATACTTGCCCGAACATGCAGGATAATTTGCCCAAGCAAGAGAGAGACAATCAGAGGTGAGCCTACGAGAGTTATCCTAGCAAGGCCATTACCTCCTTCCCGCACAGCCCACCAGAAACATGGCTTTCCCTAGCTAAAGGCTGCTACGCCGCACAGCGCCGTCCCAGCAGGCACAAGGCAGCGTTATCTAGTTCTGCCGGTGGCAGTTACCACCAAGTAAGCGGTTGCACATGGCTCGTGCCCATTTAGCAGCCTTGGCCGATGGCCTTTTGGACACGGGCAGTGGCAAAACCAGCCTCCCTCTCCCCACAAGCACAGCTGAGTTTTTAGTTCACGGGCGATGGAGGAGAGGCTCAGCAGACCACACAAGTCTTCGCTTTCTCAGCTGAAGTCACAAGGAAAGTGGAATTCGAGCCCTTGCATTTTTGTCTTTTGCAGAAAGCATTCTTCCACGTGCCAACAAGAGAGCAGCAACACAGACCTCTGCTGCCCACCTGGGCTGGATCTGAAACTGTGAGTTACAAAAACACGTATCTGAACCCCTCGAGCCATCTGGAAAATCACTTTGGCTATTCCACACTTATTAATGCAAACTCCTGCCCAGAGAGTGCAATATCCACCTTATGCTCAAACTCCTCAGAAAATAGGCAACTGCAGTAGCGTCCCTGCTTCCATCTCTTCCCGAGACCATCCCACCACCCTTTTCCCAACCCCATCTCAATCGAACGCATTGCTGGTGAAAGGTGTAATCTTCTCCGGCGAGACAGCCATTTCGCACTCCACGTGCATCACCGCAGGCAAGACGTCGACAGGGCAGGCGTTGTGAGAGGGCTCGGAGACCCGAGAAACATTGTCAAAGGACACCTCGTTGTTTTCCATCTGCAGAGCGGCGTGCGGGAGAAGCTGGGGGTAGCTGAGGGTCACCGCTTCCTTCTGATACGTGGTGTCGTGGTGGTAGGAGACCAGCTCATTGCTGAAGTTCACTGTCTCCACTGCATTGCTGGGGCAAAGGTGGCCACAGCCCAAGATGGTTGCAAAAGCTCTCCGGAAGTCCGCATTGAAGGCATAGATGATAGGATTGAGGGAAGAGTTGGCCCACCCGAACCAGACAAAGATGTTGAAGACGGTCTCGCTGACACAAGGTAGCTCTCCTGGCTCACGTTGGTCAAGATTACAGAAAGGCACCATGCAGTTGAGCACAAAGAATGGCAGCCAGCAGAAGACAAAAACGCCCATGATGATGGAGAGAGTCTTGAGGACCTTGGTCTCCTTCTTGAAGGAGTTCTTCAGGGAGGCCTCATGAGGGCAGTCGCTGCTGTGGCAGTTTTGGGCATGTTCCACCGCCCTCTCCAGGGAGGAGATCCTGCGGATCTGCCGCTGGGCAATGCGGAAGATGCGGGTGTACGTCACGATCATGATGGCAACAGGGATGTAGAAGCTAATGAGAGAAGATGAGATGGCGTAACTCCTGTTGAGGCTGGAATCACAGTTCTCCTCCTCCCCGGTGACATTAAAACCTGGCTCCTGTTGGCTAAAGAGCTCACGATCCTTGTGCCACTTCAGCTGCACAGGGATGAAGGAAATCAAGAGGGACAGTAGCCAAGCCACTCCGATCATGATGAAAGCCACGCGCTGCGTCATCTTCCTCTCATAGCAGAAGGGGTTGGAAATAGCCCAGTAACGGTCCACGCTGATGATGCACAAATTGAGGATAGAGGCTGTGGAGCACATGATATCAAAAGCCACCCAAACATCGCAGAAAGCCCCAAAGGGCCAGAACCCCGCCACCTCGGTGGCAGCCTTCCAGGGCATCACCAGTACAGCCACAAAGAGGTCGGACACTGCCAAGGAGATAACGAAGAAATTGGTGACCTTAGAGCGCAAGTGTCTGAACTTGACCACAGCCACACACACCAGGGTGTTGCCCAGGAGCGTGGAGAGGATGAGAAGGAAAAGCAAGGCAGCTGTCACCACACGGAAGGACAACTCAGAGTTGCCTTCGTCTGGCCAGCTCTTCCTACTGCTGGTGTCATTGATCACATCCTGCCCATCTCCTTCTGCGGAGGAGTAAAAACCATCCATGGGTTCCTCTTTCTTCCAGTCCCTTGAGAGGTTTCACGGCTGTTCAAGTCCCCATCAGCATCCAAAACCCCTTTTTACTGCTCCGCTGACATCTCAGAAGCACCAGCTGCAATCCCCCCAGCTCTCGCACCCAGCCAGACGACCCGGCACAAGGAAAAGTGCTTGAAGCTCTCACTCCTTTCCAAATCTGCTGACAGCGTGGCGTTTTGGATTCCTCCCCCGCCCTTGCCTCCCACCCCACTTTTCTTTCTTTGCAGCCTGCCACTCACAAAGAGCCGGCACTCACCTCCGGCACTCGAGCGAAGGGAGGGCTTTGCTGCAAGCCTTCCTCCCTCTCCTCTCTCAGCAGCTCTTCATCCATTGTTGATCTGGTGCCTGCTACAGAATCCCAGTCAATCTCTTCTGCGCTGGCCAGGCTGGGACTTGCTGCCAGACGCAAGAGGGAATCGGGCTCTCTCTGCTCTTGCAGACGGACCTTCTCTGCTTATAAAACGGGCTGCTCTGCTGTCTGCTCTTCCCTCTGTTGCTAATTTGCCTCTGGATTTCACACAGGTGAGATCCTTCTCTGCCCACACACCAGGTCCTCTACTTGCCAGGTCGGTCCTCTGCGAGCTAAGAAGAACACGGCATTGGGAGTCCGCAGCTGACGGGGTAAGTTGCTTGGGAATTAGGCGATAGGATTGAAGGGGTAAAATAACAAACATTCAAGTGGGATTTGAGGGTCTTCAATGCAAATCAGGATGGAAATTTAGTGTGCTTGATCTCTGAATAAAAGACACTCGAATTCACTGCACAGGCACTGAGTCATGGCTCGGATATATGACCCTAAACCAGTTGCTCCCCCCTGTCCCAAGCTGCCCAGCCGCAAGTGGTGCAAAACTGGCATTTACTTTCCACTACAAAATTCCTTCAAGTCCACAGGAAAAAAAGAAAAAACACATACACAAAAAAAAGCCTTTGTACAGATCTGAAAGTTTTTTTCTTTCTGAAAGTATCAGACCAAGCACAGTTTTCAGTGTTTCTTTCAGCAGAGGTTATGTGTAGAACCAAAGAGGATGCTGAACATCACTCTGATAATTTTATCCCGAATAAACATGTGTATTTTCAGTAAAGTGATATAAGGTGGCTTCTCTTTCGAGTTCATCATTCTTTCTTTAAATTTAATTCCCAAGTAGTTCCACATTTAGCTATCACCTCAGCAATCGACTGACAGCTGAAAACATAAACCAGAAAAATCAGGACATCTTTCCAGCACAGTGCTCAGCCCTGTCAGCAGAGCGGTCACCCCAAGAGGTCTCCTCGCTACCCTTACCAACCGTTCCTCCGAAAGCACAAGGACAGCTTTTCCTTCTTGCTCTTCTGCTCTCGTACGAGGGCTGAGCAGAGCTGGGCAGCCCCAGCCCGCTGCCTCGCCTGTCGTGCCAAAGGTGGGGAGCACAGGCTGGTAGTCTGCTGGGGCCAAAAGGCAGCGATCACAAGCATCCTCGTACTGCAGAACTGGAGGCAGCTCTGGAGGAATGAGCAGGGATATCCCCTCCTAAAATTACTCCTCTTCCTACCCCATAAAGCTCTCCCTCCACGCTGACAAGCAAACGGCTCTGTAAGACTCTCCCCTATTGCGTTGAGGGGAGGAACACCGTGGTATTAGGAACAGAGTCTGACCTACTAAGGCACAGTTTAGCCTTGGAAGCAAGAAGATCCCATCCATCGCTTTGTAACTAAAGCCGCTCCGTAAGCAAAAGGGCTCCTCCGATCAAAGAAACGTCAGAAAAATCCTTCTGGAGGCAAGTTTCCTCGAGAGCCAGCTCTGTAACAGCTGCTTAAATGGGGACCTGTTTTTGAGAAAAGCCTTGCTGGTAAGCCGGCCAAAGTGGGAAAGAGCAGCAAAAGCTTTCCAAATCAAACTGAAAAAACCAACCAGGCAGTTCAGCATTAATTCACGCATGACATTGATAGTTGCTGTAATGTATCGTGATGACCTCTGCCTTTGCCTGGCGCATACACCACTTCTGAAGAAAGCAGCAGCCAATCTATACAGAGTCAGCTCAGCTGCACTGAGATTTAATTAACTTAACCCTGCGGCCCAGGCTTTGCATAAGGCCAGATAGAGCAGGAACTGCCCAAGAACAACTTCCAAACAAGAGCGCAATTATTCTCTTGAAGATACAGCACCGAGAAGCTTACTCCTAAAGTAAACAGCACGCTTGCTTTGTGACGGGTTAAAGAAACTCGTTGCCAGCATGTCACAGCATTTACTTCTGAAGGCTTTGTTTAATTAAGCCTCATTAGTTCCACCGTCTGCAGCCTGCTCCTGCCAAGTACCTATGCCAGGGAGAGCAGCTAGATGGCACCAACAGCCGGCTCATGCCTCAGCACTTCCACTTGGGTCTTCTGGCAGGCCAGCAACCTTCCCCCTTACCAGGATTTCATCAAAGGAGGGCCATCTAATTGCCCAGACACCACAGGACCCTGGCAGTGCAAGGATGCACGCAGGTGCGCTGCCCTCTGTGCCCCAAAGAGCATTTTCATAGAATCATAGAATCGTTAAGGTTGGAAAAGACCCTTAAGATCATTGAGTCCAACCGTTAACCTAGCGCTGCCAAGTCCATCACTATACCATGTCCCAAAGCACCACACCTATCTGTTCTTTAAATACCTCCAGGGATGGAGACTCAACCACTGCCCTGGGCAGCCTGTGCCAATGCTTGACCACCCTTTCGGTGAAGAAGTTTTTCCCAATATCCAACCTAAATCTCCCCTGGCGCAGCTTGAGGCCATTTCCTCTCGTCCTATCCCTTGTTACTTGGGAGAAGAGACCGACCCCCACCTGGCTACAACCTCCTTTCAGGCAGTTGTAGAGAGCAATAAGGTCTCCCCTCAGCCTCCTCTTCTCCAGGCTAAACACCCCCAGCTCCCTCAGCCGCTCCTCACCAGACTTGTGCTCCAGACCCTTCACCAGCTTCGTTGCCCTCCTCTGGCCACGCTCCAGCACCTCGATGTCCTTCTTGTAGTGAGGGGCGCAAAACTGAACACAGTACTCGAGGTGTGGCCTCACCAGTGCCAAGTACAGGGGCACTGTCACCTCCCTGGTCCTGCTGGCCACACTATTCCTGATACAAGCCAGGTCACACTATTCTTGATACAGCCATTTTTCTCATATTCCCTCTACTGGGCACAAGGATTTTCCAGATTGAAGTCGCAAGACGCAAACAACAGGATGCTTTTCGCTGCTCTTCAAGAGAGCAGCGAAGGCAGGTGATCTGTCATACAGCAGTAAATCACGGCAGAGGCTCACGCTACGCTTAGGTCGCACATGCTAAGCCAGAAGGCATTCCAGGAAACCCTTCCTTGGGATACAAGGAAGCCTTCCTCCTCCTTAGGAGCTTAAAAACGTCTAAGAAAGGATCTCACCCTTGCACACTGCTTATACTGAAGCAGACGTTCAACGCTGGGCTAGCCAGGGGAAAACGGGACGGAAAGGGATCCAATAGGTTACCCAATTTCTGTGCATCTCAGAATACACGTAATGAAGAACAGGCCGTTAACTCTGCCAATATAGGCAAACAAAATACAGTTACTCAAACAAAATGCAGGCAGTTACTCCTGTTCACAGATTAACTCCTCCTGCCTGCTAGATGTAATCTTCTCTACTGAGAAAACTGTTCTGCTGCATTATATTACTAAACAGTTGCTACATTTCCTCACATAAGCAGCTGCTATTTTTTCTGAGAATCAAGTTAAGTACTATTTTAAACAGCACTCAAATATGATAAGATTCCAGTTAGGTGGCAATTCAGCTCTAGGTTTTTATATTTAATTTCCTCACCCAGCAAGAAGCTGCCTTCTATTTCCCTTCCCTGCTGTCTCACCAAAATAAACTTAAAATTCTCTATTCAGCCATCTTGATTACATTCCCCACTTTGCATCAAAGGAAGAAAATTACAAGCCACTTCAAATAAAGGAGCAGCTGCTTGGGTTTAACTCTTAAATGCCTCTTCCAGCATGGCTGTCTCTATCAGATGCATTACAGAATTACAGGAGAGTGTTTATTCCTATAGGAATCGCTTTGCACTTTACTTCCAGAGAAGATACAAGTTCTGATAGCAGGGGGGAAACGAGGGGTAATCGGATCCTTTAAAAAAAGATCCAGCGATACTGGCTGTAGGCAAGACCTGAGCCTTCCCAGGGTTGCACTGTAGACAGCGTAAGATAAGCACAGGAACAAAAAACTTCCTCCTCCCTGCCTGCCCCTGCAAAATAACCACGGTAGCTCTCCAGGGATCAGCATGCCAGCTCAGATCAAACCTCTTGCCAGAGGGCACAGGCTTGACTGCCTACAAATTCAAAGCCTACTTCAGGCATCTTAGTATCAGAGGGAAGTAGGAGTCATTTGGTTTGAGTCATTTATACACCAGGTTACTCCACTGAGATTGTCTTTAGATAGAGGAAAGAGTATGTCTTCTCGGCTGCGCTGCTTAATTACAACCAGAACAAACAGCTGGACAAAAACCGTCGCAGAATAAGGCTTGCATATTGTTTAGTACAAAACCAAGGGGTGAATTAGGAAAACAGACTTCCTGGCAGAGCAGTTTCCACCACGGCCACAGCAAGGCGGCTTAGGCAAAGGACTGCGTTCTGTGCGAGCCCTGAAATCGCACTGGTTTGTCCGTGAGACGCACAACGATGAAAAAGAAGTGGAAAGATAAGCTGAAGCAAAGAAAAAGAAGCAAGCCTCTCCAAAGTGATCCTCATAAAATTAAGGCCGTACAACCCAAAAGCCAGCACGGGCTACTTGGTAAAAACAGACAACTTTGAAAAGTTAAACATGGTAATTGTTGGGCTTTTTTAAACACAGAGAGAAGGCTGAGGAAAATCAAAGTCTGGTACAGCAGTTATTGTTTGTTTTCTGACAAAGAAGCCCAGGAATCTGCCCATTTACTTTCAGCAGATGAGTTTTATAGATGCAGAAGCACAGCTGGAACAGCACTAATATAGCAGTGATCCGTGGCACAGGGCAAGAAAAGGAGGCACCACAAGGGACTCTGGTTCCTCCCCTCCCCTTTATTACACGTAGGCAGAAAACACAGTGGTTTTTCTCCCATTTACTTACAAAGGAAAGGAATACAGAGCTTCAAGTCATTTCACATAATTCCATGTGCAGCCCAGGTAAACTGCGAGCTGGCTACAGCACACATGCTCCGGCAGGAGTCTGCACTCTTGGATAAAGTGCCAGAGAAGCCAGAGCCAACACAGCACCCTACTGACACCTGTAACTTCTTCCCCGGTCCTCTGGGGCTAAAGCTGGGTTGCCAATAATTAACAGGACATGGGAACTCCAGCTCTAGCTTACCGTTCACCCAAGCTGCCATCCACACGGCTCGAGCGACGGAGCTTCGTACCGGAGGCAGCGTAGAAACGGTGACGGGAATACATTCTGAGCCAGGGAGGGGAGCAGAGAGAAGAGGACAGGTAGCTAGTCACTCCCCCGCCACACACAGGCTCTGTGTGCAGAAAGCCCAGTTAATAGCACATTCCCCTCCTGAAAGAATGCATTTATTCATGTTAGGCATCAGGCTTTCTGCTCTTCCATGTGCATACGCATAATAAAAAAGTGACCTGCAAAAGATGACGATTTCACTTCTGGTAGGCAAAGACAGCCCCTAAAAAACATCTCCAGTTGCTGTGCTTGGGGTTTGGGAGTTTTTTTTGTGTTTGGTTTTGGTTTTTTGTTTTGTATTTTTTTCATTAGAAAACACACCCAGGGCTTTGTTTTGGGGCTTTCTGGTAACCCATAATCTCGTTGAATTGCAACATCAAGACTGAAGGCAAAGTCAAGGCTGTTATATGAAACGGTCCTCTCAGAAAGGGTCCCCTCACACCCCAAATCACATCACCCTGTAGCTCCCAAGAAGCTTTGCAAAGAGGGAAGATACAAAAATAGCAAACAGCTCAAATTTCAAGTAAGAACAAGCAGAAAATTGTATTCTAGTGACTGCAAGCCTTCATCGCAACAGGCAGCGTGAGAAACTCCTCCTTTTAAAATCTTTTGCAGGTCTCCCTTTTAAGGCCTTAGTGTCATTACAGAAAGAGGAATTATTTTTTGTCTTGTGCTTGCAATTGCTGCCCCCTAGAGCAGCAACAAAATCTCCTACAATTTAACAGTTACAGTGTCTAGTTGTCCACGACCGTGCAAAATACAGACAGGAAGGGATAGAACTACCAACGGGTGTTTAAGCTTGTCGCAGGTAACTTATGTCAAGGGCAGTATTTATGTGCCAAGTGTTTTAAACAACCACACAAACAGCTAAATGTTGAGCAACTGCAATACCGCTGCAACTCAGATTCTCAACATCAGCCACAGCAAAGGAAAAAAAAAAAAAAAAGAAATGAGCACTGTTATGGACATAGAAGAGTTTATATTCACTGGGCAGAATAGTGAATTGCATTCCCAGAAGGGAAGACTGGATGTCACGGAGTGACTTGGGATAGCAAGTCAAATTGAGACCAGTGCAGATGTTGGCACAGAGATGGGGCCAGTTCCAGAGTGGATTGTCATGGCAGGAGATCCTGTTGCTGAGCAAAGTGGTATCCATGAAGAACAGGGGAGCGTTACCCCTCTCCCCAGAAGTTCTAGTCATTAGTTAAGGAACCTTAAGACAACTTCTCAAACTGCAGCAACAGGATACGGTTGGGTCTTTAGAGATTCAGTCCCAGAGCTGTTTTGGGTTCAGAGGAAGCAGAGGGAGTCTTTTGTGCCAAATCTATAAAGAAAATTGCAACAGAAAGACATCAGTTTTCATCAGTAAGAGGGACTAGATCAACCACGCCCGTAACTAACAAATACAATTTGCCTCGGCGCTTCAATATTCAATTGCATTCTCTTGGAAACCCATGCTTCATGTCTGATATGGGATGCTGAGCACTCTTCTGCTCTGAAACTTCAGAATATCAGCTGCCTAAATAGGAAGAAAACTATATGGGCAGTCCTGTGTAATTGTTCATTAACAGATTCCTGAAAGGAAAATTAAAGTCTATTTACCCCTGCCCAAGACAGGCCTAGGGAAAACTCAGCCTGCAGTTCAGGCCCATAAGCTCTGGTCACTCACTGTTACTAAATAAAGACTAGTTTAGGTCTATCTTAAGCAGGCATCATACCTGTAACACATAAGACATAGCAAGCATTCTAGGACAGAGAAGATGTTGCATGCTTGGCAGCAACAGGAATGAAAACGCTGGTCTACTTTATCACTGTTAACAGAACATACAAAAAACACTACCTGGCTTTGTACGGGCTTTGTTAAACGACGACAAAAAATACTTAGTCCGAGCACTAGCTCCCTCACAG